GACAGAGGGCTTCAACTGGTGCTTTTTCTTTTATGCAAAAGATGCAAAAATAGCCAGGTTAGTCACGGAAGCAGTCTTGCATAAAACCCCATCTTAATGGTGGAAACAAAGCAGGAGCAGGTAGAATTAACACTGCTCTTATCCCCTGCTTGATATGGATTAAACGTAAGTATTTCCTTTGAAACAACACCAGCCACTTGGAAGCATCTAATGACACCAGACATAATGAAATGATTGGTAATTTTACATGTGACATGTGTACATACTTTTTTTTTACTATTTGGGTACTGAGTGAGGTGAACTAAATGACCTGTACAAACAATCTGGCATCATGTAAAGTGTCAGGGACACGGAGATCATACAAAAATGAGAGGGAAGTGGAAAAAGATCAGAACAAGCAAACCTGCCATATAAGAGCATCCAAGTAGACTGGAGAAGGGAGACAAGAGGAGTGCAAAAATCAGAAGCACAAGAAACTGCCCAGTGATGTATGTAATGAATGAGTATGTTAAGTGTAGTCCACCTATCAGCCTGGAATATCTTCTCCAATGATCAGCACTGAGGGAAGAAAAGCTTTGAAATGGCAAATCTGATGAGAGGCAACTTTAAAAAGTGTATGGTCAGACTCATCCAAAGAAGAGAATATGCCAGATGGATGAGATGACAAACCCAAAGGGGATTACAAGTCCTGAAAGGAGGAGGTTTGCCATGATAAAGGAAAGGAGAAATGGCAGTTTCTATGAAAAGGGGGAAATTCAAGCAAAATAATAATAAAAAACCCAAACAGAACATAAATGGTGATCAGAATTGGAGCAATTGCAGGGCTCACACATAATGCTTTTTTTAAGGAGCAAGCTAAGCCCTCAAAACATTCATTTTTAGGAGCCTGCAAACAGTTTTAAGAGCCAATCCTATAGCTCATTGCAAATGTACTCTATAGTGGAAGTTATCAGAAAAATCACTGAATTAAATAACGGATGTTACGTGAATTGAAAGAAAACTAAAGATATCAACATGTCACAATGTATTTTGTTGTCAACTCATATTTCATAAAAAAACACATAAGACAAACCATTTTATTTTGGACCACTTAAATGATATATATACAGTATAAAGGAGGCTAAGTCCATCTGTCCGCAAAATGCCTCCACAGTGTAAGTTTGATTTGGATGAAACTTCACACGATTTTTTAACATCAAAAGGGAAAGTTCCTAACAAAGTTTAATTATAATTGGGTCTCTTATTAAAAGGTTTATTTAGTGCATGTGTCCACTTTTTTTTAAGAAATAAGTCAGTAACAGCTTTATATTGCTTCAAAATGAAAAACGTTATAAAATAGACCCTTGCTAATATTTTAAAAAATAAACAAATATCATAAAATAGCATTTTTTCATAAATCACTGTGTATTAGTTCAATGTTTGGGGAGGTTACCAAAGAACGATTGGAAATTTGAAGTGTCCCATTACTTTCCAATAAGGTGGGGGGGGGGCAATTGTTTGAATTGTGCATTTCTTTGTTGAAGATGTTACTGTAAGTTGAAAGTGGTAAACAAGTATATACAAATATTTACAAAAATAACTAACCAATTGGACAGCTACAGAATAGTCCATTTCATCATTTGACAGTTCCATTACTTATGAACTTGCATAGTTCCAAGAAGTTATCTTAAAGTTAGTTGTGGCTCAACAAACCTGATTGCTGATTGGTTGGATTGCTTCTGAATGAGAAAAACTATATATTTGGGGTTTTTCGAGTAGGAGGCAAATGGTTGAAAAACAAGAATCACAAAGGTGGACAGTTGTCCCAACAGACTGCCCGTTGCACCTGTAACTCATAGGGGAGTGTATACGTCTTTATCAACAGTAAAAGTTAATATTTTGTGATTTTAGATAGATGTCAAAAGTTACACAATGTAAGTGCTGAGATTTGAAACACATTCAATGAAAGCATGTGTGTGTTGAGCCAGGAGGTGATAAATTTTAAACAATTCCACCAGTAGAATCTGGGTCTTTTTTTATCATAATGCATTTAAAGTTGTCATTTCTTTTTCTTTTTTCAAGGTTTGAAAGTTGATCATTGTGTACGCAATAAAGATACAATTAGGAGCATTTTTAAATAAGGCCAATTTAAAAAACATATTTCGGGAACCGGTTTGAAGATTCCTCTCTTTACAAATGAAAACTTTCAAATGCTGTCACTTTATTTGACCTTTGATTGGAATACTTTGTTTGGTTCAGCAAGAGTTTTAGTTCAAAATGTGTAGAGTGCTAGCAAAAGTCTTCCAACTTATAGCTGAAGTGAATGATGAATTTAGGCAATGAACCTCAACAATTTGTCTCTCACAATGGTCACATAACGATATGTACTGATCATGTACTAGCCACAAGGTCAGTCCCCATTTTAGTTTTCACTCGTTCAAATAAAAAATTGAAAAAAATTGTGTAATTTTTTTTTTGCATGGCACATTTATTGATAACTTTAACTATTTCAAATTTAATGAAGCATCAAAGCACAGTCTCTGTAGTCGTTACAATTTTTAAGGTTAAACTGTCAACAATCTACATAATGACATATGCAATTGGAATCGGGAAGATTGTGCTCTATAATTATAGACAATCAATGATTTCCGATTGTGATATCATCAGTAAAACAGTAATATTATGGGGGTTTTTTCGGCTAGTACAGTCTGCAAAGTTGGAGTCAAAAATGTTTTCCCTAACATGCAGTAAAGTAGATTCTACAGACAACTTACAAGTTTGCAATTTTTATGTGCCCATTTTTGGAAAGTGTTGACAAAAAAAAAACTTGTATTATGTCTTTCAAATGTGTGAGCCTTGATACAGGCTAGGTGTCATATATAAAAATTTAAAAAAGTAGCATTCTGATTGAAAACAGTAGTCATCCTTATAAAAGTTCAAATAATCACTCTATATTTCAAATTTTATAAATTAAATTTTATATATTAATTCCATTACATTGATACAAAAAGTTTGAATATTGGACAAAGTGATGGCATTCTTATTAATGAAAGTGCATTTACTTTGAATACACAAACATTCATAGTGATGACATTTGTGGATTTTACATGACTTACGAGTGTTCATAAATTTGAGAAGGTTCATTCATGGTTTGTCATAAATTCTGCTCAATTATGAAACATTATGTGGAATCAAACTTTAATTGTTCTTTTAAATTTAAGAGGCTACACGGGCTACTTAGCAGACACTTTTTATAGGCCCACCAGCATTTTTGGGGGGCCATTGGTTCCTGGCCACCACTAATTTCAAGCCCCGGATTGTACAACAAGGAAAGTATAGGGTGTCTAGGGCATAAATGTCCAAACAATGATAGACACAAACAAGGAAGAAAAAAAGTTTTCGGGGACAACTGATATAAAGAACAGGAGACCAACAGCTTAAATAGGGACATGTAAGAGCCAGAAGAACCATAAAAAGGACCCAGTTGGGAAGAGGGACCAGGTGAGAGAAACACAGGATAGAAAAGGCCTTTAAGAAGTCTGTGAGAAAAGGCAAAGAGAAGGAATTAGTACTTGGAAATAAGGAAAAAGTTGTGGGCAACACTGCTCAGTAACTAACAATTGTCAAAGCAGATAGGTCTTTGTCAAAAAGTCAGGTAAAGAAGGAAGTAAGATATGGTGCAGTAGCACATCCTTAGAGATGGGAGTGGTGGAGAGACCAGCACAGATAAACAGCCCATTTGTGCTGACATAGAGCATAAGAACTTGCACAACCCAAGGGTCCCTTGTAAGGAAGACCACAAGTGTAAAAATCAGGAGAGGCAGGCACCAATAGGCCCAGAGCCACAAATTCACAGTCAAATCTTTGGTAAAAATGCTCAATCAAAAAATCTGACTTCTTGTGTATAAAATTATTGTAATGTTTACTAAAAGTATGCCAAATTTCAAGAATATACACTTACTAAATTAAAAGTTGTTATTTATAGTTTCATGGTTACATCGTGGTTGCAAGCTTTGTCAAAACGATCAAGCCTGTATAGAGAAGGTTAATAAAACAAAATCAGAGAGTATCATGATATGAAATTTAGAATCCTGATATAAATGGAACCATAAACTCACCTAAGGCCACTAAGTCTCAATCTGTACAAGACAAATAATTGCAATGCTTCCTGTTATGTAAATATACTAAGCAAATATTTTTTCAAAATATGAATAAATTTGTGCAGTAACACATTCAAATGTTGTTATACTATTATGAGACAGTGTAAAATGTACTGTGGCAGGTCTCACTTTTGGCTGCAAGTGTTAGACCACACAATCATAATGTTGTTGGCCTAGCCTGTTATAACACAAGAAACAAATAACTGCATGAAAAATTAAAAAATATTATGATATATATTTTTGTTAACTTCTGGATAGATTAATAAATCAAGAGAAAAATTCAATTTGAAAAAAAGCAGGTATTTTAGTTTTAAATCCAGATAAAAACTGTAAAAATTAAACATACTTAACTACATATAAATCTTTCTTCACTGTACCTTTCACACTTAATGAGATAATCTAAGCTAAGTCAAACAAATGCTGAAGTTCAGAAAATAAGAAAATATTATAATTTCTGAAATTAATAATACACACATTTTTAAAAGAATACACAAGTCTGAGATCAGGAATAGATATACAAAAAGTGCTGTAGAGGTCAAATCACTTTTTTTTTTCTTATAGTACTGAAGAATCTTTCTTATATTTAAAATGGGTCATATCAACTTTTTAAAAATTAAACTATATCCCTAGCATTTTGTACTAATGTTATTTCTCTTTTATACTTTCAGGTCTAAGATATTAATTTTTGTATATATTTTAATCTTTTCCTTCATTTCTTTCACATTACTGAAAACACACAACCTCATTTGCATAGTAATAGTGTTAACTTACCTACTTACACTATTTAAAATTCATTGCATATTAACTCTCTTAAAATCAATAATATTCACACAGCCTTTGAATAAGAAAAAAATAAAAAACCTTGAGCATCCTCATCTGCTAGTGGAATGCTGTTGATTTCTTCTTGGATTCTTGCTGCTCCTGACATTCTTCAATGGCCAGGTTACTACACCAAAATAATAATAATCATGAGAAAAGTAACCCAGTTTTGTAAAAAATACAATGTAATAAAAATGTGTTTTTATTTAAGTTCTAAGTGCTGATTGGACTACTAAGTTCATACAGAAACAAAAGACAGATGTTTAACACTGGGTTTTGTTTTTCATTCCTAGCTCTTATCCTTTCTTGAGAGGTAGCGGCAGAGCTATGTATATAAAACTGAAATAAATCCAAATAAAGGAAGGGGGGGAAAAATCCAGATTTGAAATTAATTTTTTGCTATGTTACCAGATAAGTCAATGTATATTGTTGTTAAACTACATTCATTATCAACATCAATAAAGTTTGAAACATCATATGCCTTATCATAAACAATTAACTACAATGTATTACTATTGTTAAGTTGACCACTAGGTTACAAACTACAACGTAAAGTAAATACCTTATTTCTGAGTATTGCACCATATGCACAATAAAGTATGCATTTTTACATTTTGTGATCTAAACATTTAATAGTTGATCTCTTGCACAGAGCAGAATGATAATTAAGTGCATTTGCAAGAAAAGAATTAGAGTATCTGCAAGAATTTTGAAAATTCACAAGTTACAAGAGAACACTCCACAGTCACAAAAAGTGAAAACATGGATACAAGAGGTCTATTAACACCTGCATGTTAAACTTTCTCTGAACATGGAAGGTCATTACTTAGCATTAGAGATCAAAACTGTGAGAAAGTGTTATTCAGGTTTACAGGTATAGTTCTTATCAATAAATTAAAACAAGCATGCTGAAAATAAAAAAGCAGATTCAAATTCTGGGAAGAAACAATAAATTATCCACTAAGGTTTATTGGCAAAAAAACAGCATAACAACAGAGGAATAAAAACACAACTATGTTTAATATATTTGAATAGAAATTTATTATGTTAGTTATGTATTTATAAAACATTAACTAGGTTAAATAAAGATGTATGGAACTGGCAAAAAACAAAAACACATGAAACAATAGCTGAAGAGCTTTGGAATTTAGAAATTATCAAATCTAAAATAAAATATTTAGAAAAAGTTATTTCCAACAAGCATCAAAACTTTATAATAATATTCTATATTAGAAAAGATCACTATTTAATAGTAAAAATGTATTTCTAAATTGACACTGAATAACTAACACAGATGAACTTGAAAATATATTCATAGTATACACTTGAATTTGAAATAAAACATTATGAATATTTAAACTAAAATATTGTCTATATTCAAAATATAAATGATTATTTTCTAAATATTGATAATTTGTACTTAAAATCTTGCATGTCCAATACATATCTATGCATAATCATTAATGTATTTATTTATTTATTGTAAATAATATTTATTATAGTAAGCTTAACTTCCCAAAGCAAACATGATCTATACTAATGTATATCTTGTGGATCATAATGTGTATTGAGAGTTTTTTTAATTTTTCAGTACAAAGTTCAAAATATTAATTACAATATCAACAGCTTTGCCAGAGATAATTTCAAGTTAGTTCCAATCAAAGTTACATTCTATGTGAGGATTCATTACAAAACATGTTCATGTGAATAACTAGGGTGAAAACATAAAAACTGCTTAAACACATGGTTATGTTCTCTGGAAATTTTTTAAAGAAAGGGCAAAATACTTTAAGGACTGAAGCCCCTTTTCCAGGGTTAGTCAAGTCACTGTAAACACAATATTTTTCCTATGCTTTATGAAGGGTATATTGCAATTGCACTCTATTTATACATAATCAGTCACAAAGTTTGTTTTCATAATATTACTTTGCAGGATATAAAGAAAAATGTGTACATTGTGTTCTTTTGTTACCTTAATAAAATGACTGATAACTGTAATTAATACTATATCAATCTATTGATTTTATTGTTGTTTACTGAAAATCAATTAGTATCTTTACATTTGTAATTTATCACATGGTTAAAAGACTAGTATAACTGAGTAAATAAAAAATACTGCTTCATGAGCATTTGCCTTGTGATCAGTATATGATAGCTTGAAGACTTAAGGACAAAGGTTGCAGTATATATTTTTACATGTGTAAAAACATTAACCCTATTGATATGGATTTTTCCTATGATCAGGGGTCAAAGGGCATGTCATCACATTTGTGGGCTTGCATTCAAAATTTTATTGAACTACTATTTTATGAATGTATTTCAGTAAGTTTGGTATCAAATTGTAGATTATAATTCAAATTTTATTATGATACATTAGTTAATTTTTATAGTTAAAAGTAAGTACTTAAAAAAAAATTAAATATCGATTTTTGTAGGTCTTGTAGTATGTTGAATGTAGCTTTGGTTCAAATTAGATGTTTGTGATGTCCATATACAAAGTCTGTAGTTTCTTACGAATTAGTAACTCAATTACTGATATTGACAAGCTAGAATAAAGATAAGAACCACCTATCTTTTCTATTTTCTGAGATATTATTATATTTAGTGAATCAACCAATCAACAATCTATGATATTTATATTTAACTATTGAAGCAGTTATATAGCCAAAAAAATCCCATAAAAAACAAATGAAGAGAAAAAGTATTAACTGGTAGAATCACAACATGCACTTGTATCCTGGGCCTAGACTGACATAGGCAATATTTTCCAGCTATTATTTTGATCAAGCTCAATTTCTTATAATTATGATTTGTTTTCAACAATTAAGCAGTTCTTGTATGTACTGCTTAAGTAATAAATGTAGTAATACATGTAAAAAAAAAATTTTTTTCTATAACCAACCATAACATCCTTACCTGAAATCTTCTTGCATAAGAATATTTCCATAGTTTTAAAACAAACAAAAATTATCACAAACAAAAACATCATCAAAAAAATACAAAAATTTCCTAGATTTGTGGCTTGCTTCATAAATTTTGTAAACTTTGTACTAGAATCCTTTGTTCTCCACTATGAGAACCTCCAATAGTCACTTTCAAAGAAACCATACATTACTGCTTACCCTACTATATTTACTTTACAATGAAATAGATACACAAGAATATTTTCTATGCAATCATTTGTAGCCATTGGTTCTATCTTGTTTTAAAACTAAGGTTTATATATAAATTACTGTCCTACCCACTTGCTGTGATATAATAAAAAACTCATCATAAGGTTCTTGAAATAATTAGAAAGAGAAAATCATGAGTGTCAGGTTTAAAAAATAATATATGTATATAAGTTCTGGTTTGTTTGTTTTTTGCCAATTGTTGAAATAAATGGCTTTTACTTATACTTCTTAATAGTATAAATAAATACTATGTA